CAGATGGATTCTTATCTTAAAAGCTTTCACAAACAGAATTTAAAATAACATTAATAAATATTGTGTACTTCCCAAAATGAATGTATTTTCCACTGGGAAAAAAATTTAGAAATTGGAAGCAAATTCTCCCTCTTAGGAAGAGCCAGAATTTTGGCTTGGACATCAGGTCTGGTTGTCAGTGATTCAATTCCATGCAGTCTCTCTAGATCAGCGCTATTCAACAGGAAGCCACTCACCACATGTGGCTATTGAGCACTTGAAATGTGGTTAGTCCAAATTAAGAAACGCTATACATGTAAAATATACACATTTTGAAGAGTTAGTACAAAAAAGCATAAAAATATCTAATTTTTTGTTGATTACATATGTTGTTGTTAAGTGCCATCGAGTTGGACCTGACTCATAGCAACCCCTCCTTGGGTTTCCGAGGCAGTATCACTATGGAAGTAGATTGCCCAACCTTCCTTCCGAGGAGTGGCTGGTGGGTTTGAACCAGCCTTCTGGTTAGCAGTCAAGTGCCTTAGGGACTATGCTACCAGAGCTCCTTTGACTACATATAGAAGTGATAATGATGTGGGTATGTTGAATTAAATAAAATATATTAAAATGAATTTCTCCTTCATTTTTACTTTTTAAAAATGTAGTTATTGGTAAATTAAAAAACAACATATGTGGCACTGCCCTAGATGGAGTCAGTGGGTGTTAGGGTGATTTGGGTGGGGTGGGTTCAGATCTTTCTGAATGTGATCTAAGAACATGTTTTCTTTCAAGGCTTCTCAATGTCCTAGGGTACATACAATCCCTTAAGATGGCTAACAGGAAACTCCCTCTCTTCCCAGCCTTTGCTCTGTAACTCCTCCTTTGGACACCCAAAGGAAATTAGTTTCCCAAATAAACAACTATTTCCTAGCTTCTTTATCTATTGTGATACCTCTGCTATAAACACATAACTCCTTTCTTCAGTTATTACACAGAACTCATCCTTTTGTAGGCTTCTGCTTCAATGTCACTTTGTTTGGGAAGCCTTCCCTGAATGCCCTCTTTCCAACCCATCAAACCCTGATACCTACAGTGCCCTTCATCACTCTTATTATAACCTTTAATATTTATGATGCAATTGTCTATTTATTGGTCCACTTTCTCTGTTCACTTGTGAGCTGTTTGTGGGACAGAATCTATGTTCTTCATTTTTCTCAGATTCCTTCCTGGCACAATGCTGAGAGTCAACTCTTACTCATTCAATGTATGCAAATAACAAGACAGTGAATCCCATTTTTTCTGTAACTCCCAATTCTTGAAAATTATTTTCCAAATTCAGCCAAAGTCTGCCTCCCTGTCCCCTCTACTCAGTTTAGGATGAATCTCTGAAGCTAGATACTTGTTCCAAATACTGTCCGTCGGCCATACATTTGCCTAAGGTCATATATGATTTTAAGTTTGGATGAGTGTGTCTTTCAAACCAAGCATGTAATAAAAAGGAGCTCTGGTGGCATAGTGCCTAAGGCATTTGACTGCTAACCAGAAGGATGGTGGTTCAAACCCACCAGCCACTCCTCAGAAGGAAGGTTGGGCAAGCTACTTCCATAGTGATACCGCCTCAGAAACCCAAGGAAGGGTCACTATGAGTCGGGTCTGACTCGATGGCAGAGTGTGTGTGTGTGTGTGTGTGTGTTTGTGTGTGCGTAATAAAAAACCCAACAGTTTTCAAACCTGTTTTTGAATTGTGTTCCACACTCAACTTCAGGACTCAATATTTATACTATCAAATTTCTTCTTACTAGATCCAGCACTCGGCTCCAGAAAAGGTTTTGTGTGTGGTGTGTGTGTTTAAACCCTGCATATATATTTAAATGTCCAGACTTATGTTCTTAACTCCATGCATTCCTTGAAGGGGTCTCAGGGGCAGAAACTGGTAGCAAGGCAGATGTGTCAAAGCAGGGCTCCAGGCCCTTGTCTCCAACTTCAACCAGAAAATTATGCTTGCTGGTTAACATAAAATTTTATGGTAGTATTAACAAAAACTTTACTTTATGGTAGGATTAACAAAAAAAATATTTTATGGTAGGATTAACATAGACTTTATTTTATGGTAGGGTTAACAAAAAATTTATTTTACGGTAGGGTTAACATAAAAATTTTGCCAAGAATGTTTCTTCCAATTTTTGAAAACCAAAAATTCTAGAGCAAGCCACTGGTAACTTCACCAAGACTGTAGTCAATACATCGTTATATACCTGCTCCCCAAACCCATACAACCCAATTTAAATGCTTTTAATTTTTAAAATTTGTATCGCCCAGTATAAAGCTGTGTGCTAATTTTTTATATTTAAATATTAATATTTAAATTATTTTGAAAAGACCACTGTTAATATTTTTGTGATATATACTTTTGAATCCTCCTCCCCCAGGAATTCAACCTAAAACAGACTTCTGCAAAAGAACTGATCAATTCTAAAAATGCTACCAGTTAAACTGACTTGCACTGTCTATGGGGAAAAGCCACATTTTGAAGTGGGAGAGGGGTTTCATAAAAAAGAGAATTTTTAACATTTTTGTGGCTGACATCCTAATATCTCTACCCTGGTTCTTTCCCCTTTCCTTCACCATTATACCCAATATGTTTAAAAAGAAGGGAAATGACATTATAGCACAAAATAATAATCTTACACTAATACTCTCATGGAAGAAAACTTATGGGGATTATCTAATTGTCTTTGGGACTAATCACTTAACCAGGTATGGATTCAACTACTCATATTATGCTTCAGCTCCTATTTACCATCTCTCCGATCACAAAGAAAAAAAATCTGTTAATGCCTTGTCTAAATTCAGATTATTTCCTAAGTTTATTTGCTTTTCTTATAGGATTAACGTATCAGGGAAATATTATAGACTACTTTCCCATTCTTGGTAACTCCACATTGGATTCTAATGATATGCCCACAAAGTCACACAGCAACTTGATGGCACACTGAGACTAGACTCTGGGATTTGGATTCCCAGGTCATTACTTTTTTTTTTTTTTTTTTTAATTTTAAGAGCCTGTTTTTACATTCAACATTATGTGTACATTTAGTTTCATTCCACATTTACCATGTCCAACCCTAACTCAGTCTCCTCCCCTCCCTACCCAGTAACCCTCCCTTTGGCCCCTCATATTTATGCACTCCTGTTTGTCCTGCATTTCCTCAATTTAAATGTTGGTCCTCTGGTGCCCCATGGCCTATTGCTCTAAGGGATGTACTACCATAGAGTATTTGGGTGCGGCATCCTGGGTTGAGTGGTGGCATGTACATCTTGTTAACTATTGGGCTGAGAGCCAGCCCCCAGGAGTGCATTTTATTCCAGGTGCAGAATGTATTCCAGGGCCATAATAATGGGGATCTCACCAGATTTCATCTGACCAGTAATTCTGGTCATTATTGAGTTTTTGGATTTGGTTCCACGTTTTCCCTCCCACTCTATCCAGGATCTCCAGATTTGATCCTTTCCTGAGTGGTTGGCATTGGTAGCCAGGCACCATCTAGTTATTCTGGTCTCGAGGGCCTTCACATCCTAGGGCTGATTGCCAAATGCCCTTGTTTTTTTCAGGCCATTACTCTTCCTACTATACCAGTGGTGCTCCAATGCTTACAGGAGGTGGTTATTATCAAAAGGGAAACACAAGAATAAAAAATGGCCAAAATGAAACAATTTAAAGGTTAATGCACCCTCATGGCCCTCGACTTCTTATAAAGTTTTCCTTCTTCAGCTTTAAGTATTTAGTCCATCATATTTTTCTAACCTAAAAAATGGACTCGAGTCTGAATATCAGTTTTTATTAAGCAAGATGTAGAATAAACACAATTTCTACAACTTTACAAAGTGATCTTCCCAGAGGTCTTAGTACAAACTGCTCAATTATTGCCCTCTTGCTCCCGAAATAAAATAATCTTTTAATAGGAAATTATCATTTACATAAAACAATATATAGAAATTAAAACACTTCAATATAAATATTTCCAGAATATAGACTGGTTTTGTATCAGTACTTTTTGAGAGCTTTTTAAAACTATATATCATCTAAGTTGTTTATTATAGCTGTTCCACCTTCCGTTTCAGACTAGAAAATACAAAAATACGCTGTAAATTAGATTTAACAAAGAACAAAATCAGTCTAAATTGCTTCATGTATTTTCCTTGGAGAAATCTAGGAAACATAAACAAACAGAAAACAACAACAAAACACCACCAAACACTAACAGGAAGCCAAACAAAGAATGGATTCTTCAATACCTGATAATTCTCTCATTTAAAATAAATGATCTCCAAAGGTAAATAATTTACTATCACAGCAATCTGATGAATACAAGTAGAGACACCCTCATTAAGGGAAACTGCATGACATGTAAGAAACATGGGAGTTTTTCTTTAAAAAAAAATGAGGAAAAGTAATTCCCAACTTGGGGAAAAGGCATATCGAATACTTTTGCTTGGCTATTGTTGGACGTTCAAGTACCGGTACACCTAGGGAAATTCAACATAAATTTCTTGAAACCAAACTTCTCAACCTATTTCTTCAATTCAACATTGGAGTTACCAAAACTAAAGAGTTTCAAAAGCCATGAATAGACCCATCCATACCACTGCCTCGTCCATTTTTCTTTAACAGGTTTCTGTTTCTCTTTTCTGTGCTTGTTGTTGTTAGGTGCTGAGTTGATCACCATGATCCCATGTGCAGAACTGCCCCATAAAGTTTTCTAGGCTATAATCTTTATGACAGGTCTTTTTCCTGTGAAGCTGCTGGGTGGGTTTCTGTGCTTATTCTTTTCTTTGTCAGAGGCTAGGCCTAGGGTTTTTTTTTTTTTTTTTTTTTTTCTTCTTTCAATGTTTAAGCTTTCCTGAATTGACACTGACTATAACTATCTCTTCTTTTCTTTGTCAGATGCTTTTGTCTTTGTCTAAATCCATATCCTTAACTGACTTCTTCAACTCATCTTGGATAGATATCACTGAAAAGCTCAAAATCCAAGAATCGACTCATCCCAAAGCATTTCCTCTTCTGTCCTTTCTTCAGCATGTTTCTTCTTATCTTTTCTGTGCTTACGCTCTACTTTCTCAGAGGCTACATCATGACTTTTTTTTTTCTTTCGATGCTTAAGCTTTCCTGAACTGACACTGATTTTATCCACGGTTTTTTCCCTTTGCTGGATGCTCTTGTCTTTCTCTAAATCTACATCCTCATAACTCTTTTTCCTTTTATGTTTGGACTGCTCTTTCTCTGCCTTTTCTTCTTCTTCCTGATGCCGCCTTCTCTTCTGATGTCTCCGCTTATGACCTGATGGATGGTCACTGGTATTGTTTTCTGAAGAGATGTCCTTGTAAACTTCAGATTCTACACTGTATGGGCCAGAATTATTTTCTTGTTGACTAAGGCTCAGGGGTACTGGTTTTTCTGAGAAACAGTCTCTGGTTTGTTGATAATAGTTCACAGGATCTGATCTATGTTTGCTGTCATGAGCCGATGAGCAATGAGGCAACTGTTTTTCCACTACTTGTGAAATCTTGCATGATCCTGGGTAGGTCTGAGAAGTCTCAAATGCGCATCTTTGCTCAAACATTCTAGGTCTGAAATCAACCATTTCTCTGTACCCATGGGTTTCCATAGAGCTATCTTCCATCTTTCTGAAGCAAGTCTTTGGCTCTAGTCCTCTAGCTTTCTGCTCTTTGATGTAATCTTCAAGTTCATCTTGGAAGGAGTCATATGTCCTCTTTGAAGGAGCTGGTAACCAACAGGATGATGGCTGGTTTTCCACAGGTGAAATATTGAACGGTCCTTGGTAGGTCTGAGAAGTCTCAAATGAAAATCTTTGTTCAAACATTTCATGTCTAGGTCCAGAATCAACCATTTCTCTATACTTACGGCTTTCTATAAAGTTACCTCCCATCTTCCTGAAACAAGTTTTTTCCTCTTGTCCTCTGGCTTTCTGCACTTTCATGTAATCTTCCAGTTCACCTTGAAAAGAATCATACTTCTTTTGTGAATAATCTGGTAAGTAATGAGGTAACTGGTTTTCCATTGCTTGTGAAATATTGTACTGTATTGGGTATGTCTGGAAAGTCTTATATGGTAATCTTTGCTCAAACACTCTATGCCTCGGTCTGAAATCAATTACTTCTCTGTACCCACATGTTTCCAAGGAGCTCTCTTCCATCCTTCTGAAACAAGTGCTTGACTGTAGTCCTCTGGCTTTCTGCATGTTAATGTAATCTTCACATTCCGTCTCTTGTGTCTTTGAATTCTTCACTAAACTGATAACAAGGGTTTCTCTGCAAAGAAGATGGTTTAAGTTCTTGTTTATAAATTATTGTATTCTGAGTATTTTCCTTGTTCTCAAAAATATTAGCCTCAAAACACAAAACACCCACACTTTAAAAAATCTACCTCTAAATAAAAGCTCTGAATAATGAACTTATGCAAAAAAAGCAGCAGCAGGGATAGTCAAATATCTCCTAGGGATCTCATATTTTATACATAAATAACTTTCTTAGGGCTGGAATGAAAAGGAGGATGAGTATAAAGATGACATATCTGATGTTGTTACAGTACTAAAAAAAGCAAGGCATGTTGGGGAATATTGGTAAGGACCCATTTTTTTAATGTCTTGGTAGATGATTATGGTGGTACAATGGTTAAGTACTCACCCTAAATGTCCGCAATTCAAACTCACTAGCCACTCCATAGGAGAAAGATGTGGCTATCTGTTTCCATAAAGATTACAGCACTGGAAACCCTGTGAGGCAGTTCTACTCCATCCTATTGGGTTACTATGAGTCAGAATTAACTCAAGGGCAGTAGATTTGGGTTTTTTGGTTTTGATTGATGCTCTGATCAGAATGTTACATCACTTCTAAAATTTTAGTTAGTCAGTTCCTTGTATACATCTATAAGTACAACAGTTATTTATTTTGGAACGCCGAGATTTTTCCTTTTTATGTCTAACTAAAGATTAACTTAGGAGCTCTGGTAGCATAGTGCCTAGGGCACTTGATTGCTAACCAGAAGGCTGGCGGTTCAAACCCACCAGCCACTCCTCGGAAGGAAGGATGGGCAATCTCCTTCCGTAGTGATACTGCCTCGGAAACCCAAGGAGGGGTCGCTATGAGTTGGGTCCAACTCGATGGCACATAACAACAACAACAAAGATTAATTTGGTGAGTCAGACAATTTAATTCCTAACTACTCACACATTCAGAAGTGTTAAAATATTCTATTAGAATAAAATAATATACAGAAATATTATGCTTTGATTTGAAAAGCAACAAACCAAATACACAATAGTTAAATCCCCCTCAGTTCTGACTTTCCCAGACCCTAACTGTCCCCTTAATTCTCCCCTACTTAAAATAACCAACTAGACTAGACTAAATATTTATAGAGCTCCTATTATGTGCTAGGCCAAGCACCTTACATACACTATTTCATTTCAATTTAACAACCTTGTAACAGGTGTCCAAAGTTATACATTTGTTACAAAGATGGATTCAAATCTAAAACTATACCTTTGTTCTTAACCAGTATTCCTCATTGGAAGGATGATGACCTTGCCACAGAATCCCTAAACTATGCTATGCCAACCTTCCAAGGATTCCCTGACTTTGTATAATTATCCTGAAACTAACCCTTTAGCATCCTCCAAAAGGCAATGCTGTGTGATGAGTGGTGGTACCAACTAGCCAGCTCTGGCAATACATTATTATGGCTAAGTAATTCTCTGGAGGAAACTAGGATATGTTACAAATACCAGCAACCAAATTCAGGATCAACTCATAAAAGAATGAATTCCTAGAAAGTTTCTAAAATACATGCAATAATACTTGACAGCAGTCTTTGTCTTTGGTGTCATAGGAGCATTTTGGCAAAAAATACTTACTTAGTTTGATGTTCATTTCCTTGCATATGGGACCGGAACATTTCTGAAGATGTAAAGGTAATACTACAAATATGGCAAATGTAAGTTCTCATAATAAATGCTGAAAAAACAGAAAGTTCAAGTTAAGATGGTAAGTAGGATACACATAGAATCACATAATGTTAGACACAGACAGTAATAAAGGTAGCCTTTCAGAGCCTATGCCTCTTAAAGCCCAGAATTCTTTCTACTACACCTTACTCTTCTCTATATCTGACTTCTTTCCTAAGAAATTGCTATCTTCTTGTTTAATATCACTACATGGATGTCCAGCAAAAAACAAAACAAAGCAAAAAAAAAAAAAAAAAACCTAACTACCATCAAGTCAATTCCAACTCCTAGTTACCTCCATTGGGTTTCCAAGGCAGTAAATCTTTACAGAAATAGATTGCCCAGTCTTCCTTCCATGAAGTGGCTGGCAGGTTTGAACCTTCTGGTTACCAATCAAATGCCTTAGGGACTATGCCACCAGAGCTCCTTTGGATGTCTACTAGGCACCTCACATTTAACATACCCAACCAACCTTTGCCTCTTAATCCATCAACAAAACTCTTACTTGTTTGCACCTAATTCTCTTTCCACCCAAACAAATCCTGAAATGTTCCCAAAAGAATAAAGACAAATGAAAGCAGATTTTTACTCTCCTACCTGAGATCACTGTAGTGCATTAGTTTACCGAAAGTAATTTCCACAGACAGACGTGGTTTTACAAAGGAGAGAAGTTCAGTGAGCATGACTCTCAGGATAAAAACTGAAAGCAAATTCTAAAGCAAAACTACTAGTTACCACTTCAAAAGAATCAAACACTATAGAATAGGAAATCTATACCACCTATCCCCAATTACTATTCCTTAGGTAGAATTCGAACCAGGGGATCAATTATTATTATTATTTAATCTCATCATCCTTCCTTACATTTTCTCTTTGGCCTTTGAAACACACTAAGAAATTTTGTAAGCGAAATATAAAAATGATTTCACCCTAAGGAAGAGACTGATGGCTGAGGATATGTTAGGGGCAACCAAAGTCATTAAAAAAAAATCAAACAGCAATCTAATAACTTAAAAGCCACTGATTTAATCAGTATGAAGTGTATTGGTCTTTTCCAAGCAAGGAATATTCACAGAAAAAGGAGACTATTGTCAAGAGGAAAGAAATATGCCAATTTTGAAGAACTTGAGGAACTGTGCTCACCTGTAGGCCCACGAGAGCTCATCAGGTTTTACCAAAGTCTGAATGAATGATTCCTCAAAACTATCCTATCTTCATGTGTTCTGATTTCACGTTCACTTTTTGATTATAATTTGGTTTCCCACATTCTTCGATACCAAGAAGAGGATTCCTTGGATGAGAGACACAGATACCTGGAAACTGGAAATACATGTCTCCTCATACTATAAATCAATACCTGAATGTTAATAGATTAATTTAAACTACAATGTTTCTCAGATTTCTTTGGTAAGAATTTCCTGGGACACTAGTTTAAAATATAGATCCCCAGACCTCTCTTCAGCAGATTATGATTCACTATGTCTAGGGTAGGTTAGGGAACTTGTATTTTAACAAGTACCCCAGGTGACTGTTGTCAGAAACTTTGGAGGAAATATGAAGAAATTGAAGATTTTCACACACTTCTACTGAAATTGACCAAACATGCAATCAATATGTATTGATAAATACTATTGATTGGAATGTGAAAGTTGGAAACAAAGCAGCAGCACTGGTAGCTGGAAAATATGGCCTCGGTGACAGACATGATGCCAGAGTTCTTACGACAGAATTCTGCATGACCAATGACATATTAATTGCAAATACACTTTTTCAGCAATATAAATGGCAAATAAATATGTGGACTTCACCAGATGGAATACACAGGAAGCAAATCTACTACATCTGTGGAAAGAGACGATGGAAAACCCTAATCATCATCAATCAGAACAAGGCCGGCGGCCAACTATGGAATAGACCATCCATTGCTGACATGTAAGTTTAAGTTGAAGCTTAAACAAGTTATTGAGAGCCAAAATATGACCTTGAGTATATCCTACCTGAATTTAGAGATTACCTGAAGAACAGATTTGATGCACTGAACACCAGTGAGTGAAGATGTTGTCGGACGACATCAAAGGACATCATACAAAAAGAAAGCAAAAGGTCATTAAAAAGACAAGATAGGAAGAAAAGACCAAAATGGATGTCTGAAACTTGCTCACGAACAGACAGTAACTAAAGCAAATGGAAGAAATGTTAAAGTAAAAGAGCTAAATAGAAGATTTCAAAGGGCAGCACGAGAAAACAAAGTATTATAATGAAATATGCAAAGACCTGGAGTTGGAAAGTAAAAGGGGAAGAACACACACAACATTTCTCAAGCTGAAAGAACTGAAGAAGAAAATCCAAGCTTTGAGTTGCACTATTGAAGGATTCTATGGCCAAAATGACGAACGATGCTGGAAGCATCAAAAGAAGATAGAAGAAATACAGAGTCTGTACCAAAAAGAATCGGTAGATATTTAATCATTTTGGGAAGCATTGTTATGACCAAGAACTGATGGTACTGAAGGAAGAAGTCCAAGCTGCACTGAAGGAATTGTTGTAAAATAAGTCTCCAGGAATTGACAGAACACTCACTGAGATGAAACAAATGGATGCAG